TCAAATTAGGCAGTCCCAATTAAGTATTATAGAGTCCTAATAAAAATATTTGGAGATATATAATCAAATCAAGAAGTTTTAATTAAGTATTATAAAGTCACAATAAAGAATATTTGAAGGTTACTACATTTATCTTTTGTTAAAAAGAAGGCACTCAGTAGTCCCAATTAAGTACTCTCCCTCGGTCCCTTTATTTTTGCCCCATTGCCATTTTTGAGTCAAACTTTAAAAACTGTGACCATAATTTACCGTTAATTTATAAAAGATAATATAGTCATAAGTGGTCTCGTTAGATTCGGCTTATTGTATATTTTATAAATATCATGTTTTTATAATTTTTACGTGTATGAAAATAAAGATATAAACGTTTTAAGACGCGTCTTGGAGACCGTTCATGGTCAAATAGGGCAAAAAAAAAGGGACAAAGGAAGTACTTAACATGTTGTTGACCTGACCCGATTTAAAACCACCTTAAATTCAATTTAGACCACCTTATTACTACATACTTATATACTTACATACTCCTTTCTAAATTATTTATTAAGAATATGATGTTTGCCACGCAAATAAGAATATAAGATTATACTATATGAAATTAGTGACATCTTATGTGTGTCACTTATGTAGTTGTGTGCTTGTGCAATAAACTAGTTACTATGAGAAATTCAATAGTCAATATATAATTCAATATGTACATGAATTGTTAACCAACCGACCTGAAAAATGATGTAACTGAACCCGATATGACACGACCTGAAATCAACCCGAGATCCAAATTAACCCAGTATTTGAGACCCAAACCCAAATATGACTAGACTTAATTGGAAATGATCCGACCTGATTATAACCCACAAATTATTAACTTGAACCGAACTTGACTTGAACCAGAGAATGACCCTAACTCGTTTTAACCCGTTAAAACCTTAATTAAACCTTACCTATTATTATATTTACCCAACCCGAATGTAACCCGACCTATTATTGACCAGAATGTAACCCAACCTGTTATTGACTCGACCTAAACTCAGCTCAACACAAACCCAATAAGATGTATGACTTCACGTGACCCGACTCAAGCATGACCCAACCCGAACCCAACCCGCATAGGTTACAACATAAACCCGAATTGACTCAACCCGAGTTGACCTAACCCACACTAAACCGACCTAAACCCAACCCGTTTATCTAATCGAATAATCATCTCCGTATTACGTAGCTCCGATTAAGAATATTTGAAAGTAATTACAATTAAATAAGGTAGTCCTAATTAAGATTGTGTGTGTACGTGTGTGTGCGTGAGTGTATATATGTGTCATAATCTAATGGAATAACCCATTAATTAAATCCAAAGAGCGATATAAAGAATGAACCAATCGCATGTTATCCCTTTGCTTTTTAGTCCATCACTATAAATCTTAGAAGAAAAAAAAAAGTAGAATATTAACACCAAAAACATACATAATCTTTTATTTCATTTTTCTGAAACATTAGACACAAAACATATATGATATACAACTATTTGAAAAAAAAAAAAAAAAAAAAAAAAAACAACAATTTAATATATATACTTTAAATTTGTTGTATTGTATATCTATTTTGATTAAACCCTAATCATTTGAGATTCCCTATATATTAATTGGGGGGTCCCATTTGAATATTACAAAATATATATTCAATATGAAAATATTTAATTCAAATACAAACACACCTTTTTAATGTCTTTTTGACTAAAAATTTAATTTTAATCTAATTTTTTAATTCGAAAAGACATGAAAACATAAAAAATAAAGCAAGAAAGCAACAATCCACTATCCCTTATTTTAAGGAACATATGTTCATCCTAACTTAAATAATTATACTTGACTTGCACACACACACACACAAAAAAAAATAATAATAATAAATAAATCTTACTATGTAAAAAAATCAATATTTTAGAGATCCCAAAATGTATAAGTAACTCTAAATAGAACATTTAAACCCTTTGTTTAGAGAAAATTGAATAATGGTTAAAGAATCAAATATAATGTCATTGATAAATAACAAGGTTCAATTAAAACTCATCTTTCCTTTATACATGAATACGAATATTCCAAAATCTAAATACGTAGTACTTATAATCAAATACGAAGTATCTTAAAAAATTAAATGTCAACACTAATTTGAGAAAAAAATAATTATAATATATATTCTACTTCAAAAGAAATAAAATAAATTTATCAGATACATTTATATATTGTAAAATTGAAAAGAAAAAAAAAAAAGATAATTAAAGAAAGTTTTAGTCAAAGATTGAGTACTAATCAACACACCCCCCCCCCCCTCCCGAAGTATTAAAGTGAAATCACTTTTAATTTTTTTTTTACTTTTTTTAACTGTACTAAATAACTGAAACGGTTTTTTCACCAAATACCCTTGAACTTTTCAAAAATTCACCAAAAACCCTCAAGTTTTTCAAAATTCACCGAATGCCACTGACGTTTGTTAATATTCACACCGTGACCTCAAAATACTCCTGACGTTAAATTGTTAAAGTTCCGGTAGCAATAAAATTTAATTCACCAAATGCCCTAACTTTGTAAAATAATTACACAAAATACCCTTATTTTTTGAAGCACAAGTGTACAACATCTAGTTTGAAATTTAAGGAAACAAGTCGTTAGTTTTGGTTTTCACCCTTTATTTGCATAAATACTCCTTAATAAGCCTGTAAGTAATCACGTCTTTATCATTCGGCCCTCTTTTTCTCTATTTGCGAGGTCTCCGCCACTTCTTTTTATGAATAGAGGATGTTTGCAACTCTTACACAAAAGTACTCATACATTGAGGAGGATTATTTAGATTGATAACTCATGGTGTTAAAAATTTGTGGTTAAACAAATAAGAGAGATGCTATGTATCGACTCTGTATGCAAAAAAAAGGGTGAAAATCATAACTTACAGCTAGTTTCTTTAAATTTCAAACTAGACATTGTACTTCCAAAAAATTAGGGTATTTTGTGTAATTATCTAACAAAGATAGAGCATTTGGTGAATGAAATTTTATTGCTAACGAAACTTTAACGCCAGAGGTCACGATGTGAATATTAATAAACATCAGTGGCATTTGGTGAATTTTGAAATACTTGAGGGTATTTAGTGAATTTTTGAAAAGTTCAAGGGCATTTGGTGAAAAAACCATAATTGAAATTATCGGCTTCAAAAAAAAAAAAAAAAAAAAAAACGGAAATCATCAATTTTTTTTCAACGAAGGCTGATTAATTTTTTAAAATGAATATTTTTATTTTTTTAAAATGAATAGCATTTTCTCTTTTTCCTAATCTATTTTTTGATGCAATCTTTTTCCTAATATATCGTTGTATTGTTTTAGCTAAAAAAATCAGATTGATTATATTTTTTTTTTTTTTCTCATATATTCCTTCTCCCAAATGACGCTTTCTAAATCAAACAATCAAATAAAAAGGCTAAAATTATAGAAGTCTTTCAATTTAATTTTTATTTATTTTTGTACAAAAATAAAATAAAATAAATTCATATTCAACGAAAACAAACGACCAACTTAAACAATGGCATTGTAGATTCAAGCTTTAACAATGGCGAATTACTAAAAAAATCATATGACTAATCACAATTTACCACAAAATCATACGACAAATAAAATTAAACACAATGTCATAAGATATAACGCAATTTTTTTAATCAAATTGTGTATACATATAATTACATTGATTTCAAACTCATAAATTATTACTATATTGACACATAAATATGATGATTATACATTAATCTTATTGATATCATATATAGTTTGGTAATTTAAGATTGAGTTTTGGACGAAAAAGTTAAAAGATGAAGATGAAGTACACCATTAAAAAAGGTTAAAATTGTTAATATGAGTTTTCCTCTAAAAAAATTACAATCGATTTTATAATAATTCATTTGGATGGTAGTTTGTAATATTGTAATTTGATAAAAAAAAATAATAAATAAATAATTACCCTCTAAAAGCAGAAAAACAAACAACACTTAGCTGATTGATCAATGACTGGTCGCTGACTGGTCATAACTTAAATGATGTGTAAATTAGGTTTTTTTAAATTTTTTAAAATTTGTAATATTCAAAGGTAAAGATTAAGCAACATACATAATAAACGGTTTAGATTTAATCTCTTAGTATAGTCATCCGTAGTCGACGACTTCGCTAGAATCATCCCTTGTCGACTACGCTAGAATCATCCCTCAAAGACAAGTGTTAGATATAACAATTAATCTAGAAATAAAAGATAACTTGGTGTTGCGTTAATTCAGTTATGGTCTCTTTAAGTTCAGGTCCCTTACTTGACATATGTAATTATGCTTATGGTTAATATATTTATGGCTGTTTATTATGAAGTAAATGTAAAGCTCTTTGGGAAGCTTTAGAGTCCCAAACTACTTCACAACAATGAAGACAAACACATAAACATACACACAAAATACACTTCAGAATAATCATTCACAAATACTCCTAGTATCCTATCTTTACCGCAAAAATACAAAGATCTCTCTCTCAGAAAAAACAAAGGGCACCAAGTTAATCTAAAACCACTCTAGATTTAAGTCAATAAGCTTTTTTAAGAAACATGAACTATATGGATAGTAGGTCTTGTTCTGACAAGCTCATAAACAATTATTTAATTTTTCAATTTCAAAAACAGAAAACAAAGATAGTGTATGTAATCAAATAGGCATGCTATGATAAGGTGGATGATGGTTTATGTTAGTCAGAAGGTGGATGATGAACAACCCACATAGTTAGCATTATGTAAAAGTGTTTTACTCATCAAGATTATTGAATGCAAGCCATAGATCAAAAGATGATGAAAGGAAAGGATTTCAACAGTATAAGTTATTAAAGATCAAGATAACTCATGAAATGTGATTGTATACATCAGTCCAAATAAGTCATTTGAGGTGCAGGTCAAAATGAATATGCAAGCAAGAAGCATGTAAAACCAAACCTTTTTCCCCTTTGAACTTCTACAATTAGTCTTTACAAGGTTCCGCCACTTATCCTGCAAAGACCACCACAGGCAGATAATTTCCAAGGTTGGTTGTTTGCACAGAAAAAAGCAGTCATAAAAAAGATGCAGAATGGAAACAGCAAGATCAAGCATTATAAATTACCCTGATATCAGTAGCAGTACGACGAGAAGATAAGAAGAATGTTTTCTTTACAGCAGTCCATTGTCCTGGACCAAACTTAGACATTCCATCAACCAATGCTACTACCTCATCCAAAGTCCAGGGCTGGCAACTCTTCCTTCTGTCATTCCTTTTAAATTTTCTGCCATTGAAGCTAGACTCAACAGGCTCATATTCCTCATCTGAATCTAATTCCTGCAAAATGCGTGTCATGTTAATTGCTAACAGCAATAAGCCTGCAAACAGCATGGATCACCAAAAAAAAAGTGACTGCAATAAGCTTCCAGCTGCCATATATAGAAATCAAGATTCAAATTAAGGGACAGGCTACAATTGAACTGCTGTGATACACATATACGAAGTATATTCTTACCAATGAGTAAAAGAAATCACAGTAAATTTTACAGCAAAAACAACCACCAAAAATAATCCCCAGTTTGGCTAGCCATTTTTGATACTTTAGGACTCCATTAGTCCACTGTTCAGCAATAAAAAAGTCATTGACGATCTGATCCCTCAGTTACATACTGATATGATTTAAAAATAAACATTTTCCAAAACAATTTTACCAACTTCAAGTGCAAACATTGGACCAAATGAGCTCCATTCAAGATAACTTAAATTTAAAAGTTGAATAAATTCAAGTAATAAAAGGCAAAGTAGGTACACATACAAAGACAGAAATGTATAGAGTAATATGTCTATACCATATCACTTGCCCAGGTCTTTGACGCTTTTACTTCCAATGCTTTTCTGCTGTGCTTCTTCAGAGACCTAACTCCAAGATCTTTATCCTCTAATAAACTGCTAGGATGTTTCTTAGCATTATGAAGCCTTAACTTCAAGGATGAAGTTCCATCTAGATACCTCTGCGGAGGTCTGCACAATCTTCTTTGTCTAGCTCGGGTTATTTTAGTTTCAGCACAACTGTCAGTTGATGGGTCTTCCACACAAAAATCATCCACATCTGTGCATTGACTTGCTGAGCCAACTTCGTCATGTGTATATATGGAAATGTATGGTGGCTTAACATAAGGGAAAGAAACATGTGTGTTATCTCTATCGTCATTGAAGGAACTTCCGATCTCCAAAGTATTTCGATCATCATTAGTGGCCTGAACATATTTAACATCACTAACGAGAGAGCATTTTAAACCCATATTATCCTCCACTGGCATCTGATACCTACATTTGCTCCCCAAGTCACCATGCATTTCTTTAGCAGTTTTTCCAAACTGATCATTGAAACATCGAGGCACTAGCACGGATGATTCAGATACCCCAACTTCTTCATTGCTAGTTTCTGGAGAGTGGATCTCAGATCTCAAGTTACCGACACTTAACTCATCATAGAATTTACAGTCCAGATCAGGGACCTTTTTATCAAAATCAACATCTAAAAACACAAAAGTGGAAATCTTTAGTGATCTAAGTCTATCTATTCAACCCAATTATGAAATCCATCAAAAACATACCCAAATAGTGATCTTCAGATGCATGTGAGATACTAACAGCAAGAGGTATGTTGGTTAATTTATCCTCATTCAGAATTCCATCAAAATCCTACAAATGCACTTCCATTAGCAAACAATTCAAGATAGAAAGAAAATAATAATTTGACAACGAAAACAAAGCCAGAAATACCACTTTATCTTTATCAAGAGTAATACAATTAAAAAAAAGTGGTTTCTAGCTCTTTAGAAAAGAAATTTTATGCAACAAATACCAACAGACAAGAACAAACTTTGACCTTGCAGTGTGAAAGAAGCTTGTACAACACACAAAACAAATATGCAACGTGCAAAGGATGTAAACAACAAATCACGTGGTCAAAAAGGATTACAGAAAGAAAAGAGTACAATGAGATGAAAAAAAAAAGCAAACAAACAAACAAATAAAAAAATTCGAAATTCAAAAAATAAACACAAAAAAAATCACATTCACATTTTAGCAAAATATTATTTTATTAAAAACAAAAGAATGAAAGAATGTGACAGTGCCAAAAAAAATCAAATAAAAAAGAAGAAATCAAAAGGATGAAAATGCTAGTCAAACTAGCTCAGAAGGCAATGCCAAGAACATGAACAATGAACCACAGAGTTAACAAAAGATCACAATGCAGTGTTATTATATACTCGTATTAAATGCTAGGAATTATTTCAAGATAAATGCAAGCATGCAACCCTACCATGGAAGTTGATGATAATCGTTTTTCACATGCACAAAGAAAAAAAGAAAAGAAAAAAAAGAGCTACATACACTGCATAATATTTCGCCTTTCCCTTCTTCAGTCATATAGGAATTCAGCCCACCTTCAGAAAAACATGAAATTATTCAATTTAGAATGCTGTAATATAATTATATAACCACATCAGGACTATTGTGGTAATTAAATGTAGAGTTGTGAACACACAACAGAGGTAACCATTATGGACTGATCCTGGATTTGCACAGCTCTCAGGTGCTTTTATTCATACAACTCTTTAAAAAATTAGACATGATAAGATATGTTACACAGTACAAGCAACAAACTCTTGAATATTTCAGAAATTGGAGATGATAAGACAATTAATAATAAGCTGAGTCTCCTTACCATTTTTGGCAAGTAGCTCATAATGAAATACTGAAGATATATCATCAATTTTGAATGCATCCTCAAAGTTTGCATCAAAATACAGTGCAGAGGCTTGATCTTCTTTAGATTCAGCCCACATATGTCTAGCATCAGAGCTTCCATATGCTAAGTCAGCAATATAATGTTCATCTTTCTTAACCTGGATCAAAAAAAAGTTGGTGGCAAGCGGTGACAAACTGAACACTCAAGTAAGACAAATAATCTAGATAAATATACACTCATTCAGGACAAATAATCCAGATAAATATACACTCATTCATGTGTTGTTGCCTGATATTTCCACAATTATTGGGACTGCCTTTTGACAGCTTGGTGCTCTAGTAAATAACAAATAGACATAATATTCATTGAAATGATGACAATATACTACATTATGCCAAATTTACAATCAAAAGATTGTCTGTTCTTTATTCCATTATTGGAGAACCCTCTTTACTACTCCTCTTAACCCACAATCTCACACCCAACCACATATTTACTCATTACACCTACTCAACTTTTCCCAAAAAAAAAAATTTATCTACATATCCAAGGGAGGTAGAACAAAATGATTGGAGGTGGAATTCTAGACTCTGAATCATGGTCCCTTATGGTTATATTCCTGTTATATAGTTAAACCACCAACCAAAACAGTCGAAAATATCAATAAATCAAACATCACTTTTCATAATTGACCAGAACACTATAAAATTTATATACGTAATATAAGACACCATGGCATGAAGGGAGCTCCTGCAATTCACATCAAGAGGAAACCAGCTTTCAAATCAGCACTCCGCAAATATCAAGATATTCAAGGGTTACCATATCCATATATAACATATAGAATATAGATTAACCATACCAACTCAACGTTTGCTAGGCCACATTTAAACAACAAAATTTAATCCAAACACATGCATATATCCTAACACTTATTGCATTCTGGTGCAATGTTATACCTGTACAGTCAGATACAATCCATTACCTTTTTTCTAACCAATGAGTTACACATTACCTTCAGGCACACCGCACAAGAGACCTCAAAGTGGACTTTAATTAAAATATTGCTTAGCAAAAAGTATTGCATTTCATAATGTTAATAAAGTAAAACTGCAGGAAACCCACAGAGTATATGGAAACATTAAGGAGTATAATTTGTCTAACAACCTGGTTTTGGTTCCCAGCATAGGATGTAGACTTATTGAGTAAACCCAAACATATTAACATTTATTAGGACATAAGAGATTGAAAAGATTAATTTAGACTGAATCAACATCATTTAAAAAAAGCCTGACAAATTATATAATCCCAAATAACACTGCCATACCTAATAATTCAAATCCTAATTCAAATCTGTTTTCAAATCCCTGTCTCCCTAACACTTTCTTTTTCTTCAACATTTTTCTATCTGCAACTTCTCTCAAACAATTTAGTTACACTGTTAAAATTGATGATATATCTTCAGTATTTCAATATGAGCTTCCATATGCTAAGTTGGCATTCTTATTCTAAATAAAGATTTTGAAGTTTGATCCAAGTAGTAGATAATTGAATACAGCTAGAGTTGATCACTAATGTGTCAAGAAAATAAGTAAATCAATGGGAGGACAGGAAAGAGAGAGAAGAATAATTGGTGTTTAATTGTCAACCTTGTAGATAATTTTATGTAATTTTTATTTTTTTGGAAGATCTTTGTTTAAGTAGGCCGTAGGTAGTAATCATAAACTCACAAAACTCTATTTCCTAAACAAATTACTTGAACACTATGTAATCCGGTATTTCACAAATATTAAATTAGTAATTTAAGAAGTTTCAATTTCTAGTACTGATAATTACCATTTATACATTTTCCAACACAATCTTGCACAATATCATCCCTTTGATAAAGTGCCTCTCAACATGAGTCTAAAATACTACTGCTGAGACATCGTTATTATCAAAAACATTTGTTATAAAGGCATAGGCGGTCCAACTAAAAGGCAACATATAGATATTTAAACACACTAGTTCACAACAAAAAAAAAAAAAACTGTCAATAGCTAACAAACACTCCTATTTCACCCTAAGCACTTGAGTTAGATGCTTGACAGTCTAATAAGACACTTAAACACTTCGATTTTAGCAAAAAGGTGAAAAACACACAAACTTTTTACAAAATAAATCAAGTCGAGCACTTGGACAAGCATGCAAAATGAACAACTGTAATCGAATCCATGTAACAAAAGTTATGTTTAATAGTCAAAATAGTCACTCAACCAAATTTCCCTATTATAGTGACTCAAGCACTCAATTAAATTTCCCTAATATAGTGACTCTTTGGACTATGTTGAACTATACAAGTATATGAAAATATTCAACTTAAATCCGACAGCATTTAATTCGATAAGACGGTAAAGTTAAGCAATTTAATCACAAGTTTATCATACCTCTCAATTAAAATTGGCTTAAAAAAGACAATTTAAACTGCACAATTGTGAACAAAAATCTCATGCATGATAAATCAACCGCTCAAAATCGAATAATTCAGTCCTAACAGTAGATAAACTACAGTCTCAAGCATTTAATCGCAAATTCACAACACACTAACAACAAAATTTGAACAAATAACAACGAAATCAATTAAAAACACAATGAATACTCCGTAAACAACAACAAAAATCGAAAAAAACTAAACACACAAAAGCAAAACAATTGATAAGTTACTTCAACTTAAACAAAATCAAAATGCTGAAGAACAACACCAAAAATTAGCAGAACTTGAAAAAAATAATTAAACAAAACTAAAATCATTAAATAAAATTAATTAAGAACAGCAGAAAGCTGACCTCATTCATGGTCGGCAGAGAGAAAAAATGGAGACTCTAGTAGAGAGAGAAGGATTGTCTTAGGAAATGACGGATAAATGGTGAGCGAATGTTCGAAACTGAAAAAACGCTTCAGACCGCCGAAAAGTGACACGGAGGAGTGAGAAAGTGGACACTGGAGAGAAAGGAGATATTGCAAGGAGGGAGGGAAAAACTGCCCCCGATTTCACTACCTCATTATTTGTCTTTATCTTTCTGTAGGGTCGGTCTTATATGTAACGGATGTATTCAACTAAACCTAGTCCTACCCACTCTCACATGTACTCTCTCTGTCCTTTTATTTTTGCCCCAATTAATTTTGCGTGGTGTTCAAGACTCGTGATTAATCGTTTATATATCCACGTGACTATATTTTCTTTTGTAGGACAATGAAAATTTATTATGGTCAAAGTTTTCAAATTTTAACCCACATTTTGAAAATGGAGAAAAAATATAGGAACAGAGGAAGTAACAAACTAAAATTTGATAGTTACTATTAGTGGACTATTGACTGGCCTTAACCCTTTAAAAAAAAACCTTATTGATTTTATTTTGGTCTAGTTTTTATAGAGAAAATCCAAGTTTCTCTCTGTGAGAAACGTGTACTTAATTCATTACAAATCATTAACGTCATTTTGGCTCATAAATCATGGGTGTTTTAATAACTTTATCATGTACTCCGAAAAGGCTACACATAATCATAATCTATGTGTACCCCACATAAACAAGGGTTTTTATTGGCCGAAAGCAGTTGGCCCACTAGGTCCCACTTCAATAGTTTTGATAATGTCACTGTGAAAATTTTGCAAATGAAAATTTTGAATTTTGAATTCTAAATTTGAATTTAATTGTACTTTAGACTGTAAATGATGTTGGAGGCATTGCGAGAAGACACTATGGAGGGTCGACAATGGTGGCTTTAAGGCAAGGGTCGGCGACGGTGACTTTAAGGTGAGTAAGGTGGTTGAGAGGAAAGGAAGGGTCGATGGTCAATGTAATGAGAGCGTTGATTGGAATGGTGTCCTTCGAACAAGTGTATTATTACGATAGAGGTTTCAGAATTATTATAAAGCTAATTATTTAATAAGGTCAAGTGATCGAAATGCTTAGTTGGAGGCCGCTTCCGATCAATAATATTAATGTATAATTAATATTACAGCGTAATCTTGACTGAACCCTTCCGGTCACACCCAAGCAAACTAACTAACGATCCGTCACGACGAATTAAAAAGGAATTAATGAGTCACTCAAGGATTATGAAGATAGACGTCGGATATCGAGCTAGAAGCGTCGAGACCAAACGTCGCAAGTCGAGTTGAATTAATAAAACGCCGAGACGGTAAAAATCAATTAATCAACAATTCAGTATTCAGGAAAATCCTAGCATCATATTGGCCAAGCCAATCGATGCCTAAGCTAGGGTGACTAGCATGGATAGCCAAAGCCATTACTGCAAGGCAAGGCTCGCGCCGCAAGCTCAGCATGCCTAGCAGGGCCGAGCTAGCCTTGCATGCAAGTCTAGGCTATCGCAGCCAAGCACACAAGCTAGGCGTAACTAGCAGCCAGCTCGCATCATCGCAGCAAGGCCAACCGCATTACTTGCTGGGCCAAGCACGAGCACACCAGCAGCACCGCAAGCATGCAATGTTGGGTCATAACCGCACACACACACGCTGGCAGGCCCAGCCAAGCACCAGACCGCCAGCAAGGCGCCCCTTGGTGCCCAAGGCTAGGTGCCACGTGGCAGCATGTGAGTGATGTGGTTAGGGAGGCTTGGGGAGCAAGGCTTTGCCCCCCCCCCTTATGGTCCACACCTACTCTGTCCCTCCTTACTTGACACTTGTTGATTAATTAATGTTTTGCTTTTACTTTTGATTTTTTATTTTAAAATAAAATGGAAAAAGGATTTTTACCAACTCTCCCACATTGATGGGAGAGTGGAATGTTCATGGGATTTCTCCATAAATACCAAACAAAGTATTGGGATTTGAGAAACCCACTTGAGTTGAACTCAATAAGGCATCTCCAAAAGTGAGAAACCCTTTAAGTTCATAAAAACTCGAGTAGTCTTATATTTTTTCTAGCTCGGATAAACTCCGAGTAAGTGCCGGATGGGTCATTGTTGCGGGTGGATTTCCATTGGAAGTCGTCGCACTTGCGAGACTCGAAGCTTTCGAAGTCAGAGCTCATTAAAGGGAGAGAAGCACACACCAAAGGTGATATTGTCTTTCTACTTATCTTGTTAATTATGCTTATTAGTTATATTAATTGTGAGCGGGTCTTGGGCTCGGGTTTTCTTTCCGCAAAAGTCGGACTTTCCGAAACTCAACTAGAGTAATGTGGTTTAGAGTATGAAATGATGGTCGACGAAATTAGAGAGTGATATGGTCCATAAGATGGTCTGAAACAATGGAGGGTGAAATAAAAGGTGCAGGTGAGCGAGCGAAAGAGACGATGGAGACCAAGTGTATTGTTGTAGTATTGAAATTGTTTTGAAATGTTTTGTAATTCATCATTTATATTAGGAAATTTTGCGAAGAACTACCTTTTAAATGATGCGTTTTGGAAACAACTATCATTTAAATTTTTTTTTTTTGAAACAACTACCACAAAAACACAAAAACGTTCGAGTAGCACTACCTTGACTACTATTCCGGCAAGAATCTCCGGCTGTGGGCCCCACCACTTACGATTTCCCTCCAAAAATCCCACTTGAATTGACGCTTATACCCCTAATTTAATTTCTCCCCCAACTACCTATCTTCCTCCTCATTTATTTCCCGCCTAACTCCATTCTTCATTTTCTTCATCTACTCATCTCTGAAATTCAGAGAATATTCCTCCATTTGTCCTTCAAGTTGTCTCCCTCTCTCTTTCATTTTCATTCACCCTCTCTCTCTTACGTGTGTGGTCCATATTTAGCTGGAAAGTTTCTGCCTTTTAGTACTGTTGGCTGCATTTTTGGGTAAAAAGAGAGGTTGGTCCCTTTAATGGAGAAATTGGAGATGGAGACAACTCATAAACGACAAAAATTAAAGTGGTCAAGACGAGGTACATTTCTGTAATTTATGGGAAGTTTTTGCCTTATTTCATTGAAAACTGAAAACCCTAGTTTTTTAATTGGGAAATGATTAAGCCCTAATTTAAAAATTAAGCAAACAAACAATTAATTAAGTAATTGGAGTACTGTGTGAGATAAATTAATTAATTAATGTGTTAATTTATAATATGATATGTGGTTGATGTCCTGTTTTCTGCGACAATTATGCTATGGGAAAATGTGTTGTTTTTGTGCATGTGTTTGTTAACTCAAATCTGTTATTGTTTGAATGCTAATTAGATTAATTAATTGTAGGAATCCTCCTGAATATGTTGACATGAATATATGGGTTGGTGGGCAGTTTGAATATAATAAGGGAAGGACTCAATACATGGTGGTGGAATGTTTATGAAATTGAGTTGTTACTTGTCTCAAATGACTGTCAGTAGTGTTAGAAGAGCAGTAATACAAGCTTATGACTTAGTAATGAAGAAAGTTCCCATGAACTTCAGAGTTTGGTTTAGGATGTTTGGTCCAATTCAGTGAGGTCCAAAAACCCAACATATTTTCCACCTAGACTAATAGGCCAAACAAACATACCCAGCATTGATAACACCAAAAAATCACCCCCAAAAAAACTGAAACCCATTAAAAAAGAGATAATGGGGTTGAGAAAAAGTGATAGGTTATCCCCATTGAAATTCAAGGATGATGTTGTTGACTTGGATGCACAAGTTGTTACCAAAGAAGAGTTTGACTTGCACATGGCTTCTTTAATTAGCCTCAATAATCCTGACTGCATATTCACCCCAGACCATTGCTTCTTCTCATAACAGCCCACCTGCTTCTCCACCTAGCCCACCTGCTCATCATCCTAGCCCACCTGCTTCTCAACCTGCATCTCAACCTACTCCAGCTGCTTCTCAACTTAAACTTACATCTGACTCCCCAACAAGTAAGGGAACACCTAGAAGGAAAACTGTTGCTACAAAGAAGAAGGCAGGGAAGGCTCCATAGAGGAAAGAGAGGGAAAGGGGGAAGAAAAGGAATAAAGAAACAGAGAAAGGAAAGGGAAAGGCAGTTGTAAATTTAGGGTTGGACTCTGATTGCAGTAGTGAAGGGGAGTGGTCTACAGATTCTGAAAATTCAGATCTAGATGTTGATTTTGAGCCTGGTGAGGAAGGTAATGTTGGTGTAGTGGGTGATGTGTTTTTTGAAGAGGGTCCATCTGAAAGAAAAGCAAAAGTTAAGGGAGATGCAACTCAGTTTACTAAAGAGGAGGTTAACTTAGGAAATGTACAAGAGATTGATTATGATTCTGAGGAATTGAGGAATTTGCAAGGATCAGATGATGAGGTAGATCCTTATCCAACCTTCAATCCTGAAGTTGATTTCAAGAACAAGATTAATTTTAGTCTAGGGCTTAAGTTTCCAAATGTTATAGCAGTGAGGCAGGCAATTAGGAATCATAGTATTGAGAACAACTATGATTACTATTTATTGCACAACAGTAGCTTTAGGGTAACTTCTTACTGTAGGAATAGATGTCAGTCTTGTCCTTGGGATAAGAAGCATAGGAAGCTGAGAGAGTGTAAGTGTAATGATGAAAACAAATGTAGATTCAAGATCTATCTGAGACAGTTTCCAGGGGAGTCAACTATGTAGGTTAAGAGTTTGAGGCCCAACCACACATGTGGTTTCTATCATTCTAGTACAAAGGTGAGTTCTGAGTACTTGGCTGTGAAGTACCTTGATGATTGGAGAGCTGATCCAAATTGGAAGTTAGTCAGATTTGTGGAGAGGGTGTACAAGAATTTGGGTGTACATATAGGGTACTACAAAGCTTGGTATGCTAGGGCCAGGGCAAAACTGACTTTGTATGGGGATTCAGCTGAAGAGTATGCAAGAATCTTTGATTATGGGTTTGCAATTCTAAAGTATAACCCAGGTTCATCTGCAATTGTGTTCATAGAAGGAATTGAGAGACCTCCTCCCTTTTTTCAAAGGATGTATGTGTGTTTGGAAACATGTAGGGAGGGGTTCGAGAAAGGATGCAGACCATTACTGGGTGTGGATGGATGTCACCTTAAAGGAGAATTTCCAGGGATGATTTTGGTTGCTTTCAGTAAAGGTGGGAAT